AGTCAAGTTAAGTACTACTCTTATGGAGGACCTGAGTTCAATTCCCAGAGCCCATATTTGGTGTCTCACAATTGCCTGTAACTCCAGATTCAGGGGATCCAATACCCTCTTCTGGCCTCTGCAAGCAATGTGCCTCCTCCACATAACCCCCCAACACACACACACACATACACACACACACACACACACACACACACTAAAAATAAAAATGTAATCTTTTGCTGGGTGTTGGTGCCTCATGTCTGTAACCCCAGCACTCGGGAAGCAGAGGCCGATGGATCTCTGTGAGTTCAAGGTCAGTCTAGTCTACAAATCAAGTTCCAGGACAGCCAGAGTTGTTACAAAGAGAAATCCTGTCTCACAAAAACAAAAGAAAACAAGACTATATATAATATATATATATATAACATATACTATATTTGTATACACTACATGGTATGTAATTATAAGTTATGTCGTATATAAATAATATATATTATACATATATAAAAATTTTATATATACATATATGTAGCATGAGGGGGCCGGGCCTGTTTGTTGGGATTTCTGTCCCACCCGGCCCCCAAGCTGTTTAGTCCCAGAGAAAAATCACACACAGATCTCTGTAAGTTATAATGCTGATTGGCCTGTTAGGTCAGGCTACTTATTAGCTAACTCTCTCATCTTGATTAACCCATTTTTCTGATCTATGTTAGCCATGTGGCTCTGTACCTTTTTCAGTGGGACAGCTCACATCCTGCTGCTTCGGTGATCTGGGCAGGAGTGGGAGGAATCAACTTCCTCTTCCCCAGAATTCTCCTGCTCTCCTTGCATCATTTCCACTTCCTGTCTAGTTTTCCCACCTACACCTCCTGCCTGGCCAATCAGCGTTTATATAAAACACGATTGACAGAATACAGACAATTCTCCCACACCACTTCCCCCTCTTTTTTTTTTTAAAAAAAAAAAAGGAAAATAACCATAGTCCATTTTTTGAGAATGTGGGCGTAGTATTCCAGGCTATTTCCAGCTGGTTGGGGGTGTTGATAATCTTATGGGGATCTAAAGAAAATTTAGAGTTATGATCAAGTCCTGACTGAAGTATCCTGTGAGTCTTTATCATCTCAGGCAGCAGTCTTGAATCTGTTCTGGATGAAGAACTCAGACATCTGTACCATCTGTTCCTACTGGAGATTGCTCAGGTGGTCTCCCTTGGTCAAAGATGATTTTTCTTAACCCTGAATAAATCCAGAGCCTCTCATTTTCTGTGGAAACAAAAGCAAAATCTCTTCTCCAAAGTAACATACCTTTTGACTTCAATTCTGAAGCCAAGGAATTTTCAAAATACCTATCTTGGATTAATTCTGCAGCATTTATAAGCAAATATCTTTTAGCAGCTGTTGCTCCTTCCTCAGCATTCAAACAATTTAAAGAGAGCATAATAGCAAACAGTATCAAGATTCTCTGTATATTTTCCATCTTTATGCAGCTTTATTTTAACCTCTATTTCTTTTATTTTTACTTTTAACTTTTGGCTTTTTGAGACAGGTTCTCTGCATATCTTTGTCCTGGAACTCCCTCTGTAGACCAGACTATCCTTGAACTCCCAGAGATCCGTCTGTCTCTACCTCCCCAGTGCTGGGATTAAAGGTCTGTACCACCACACCCAACTACTCTTTTTCTTTCTTTCTTTCTTTTTTCAAGCCTGCATATATTTTTAACACAATGTAAACCATTTAGAGGTTTTCTTACTCTTTGAATCTCTCTTTACTGTATATCTCCCTTTTTCTGACCACATGGGTCTTTAATTTGCTAAGGAATATGGAGAAGACAACACTCAAAAGCTCCTATGGTATTTCAAGGTCCTTGCCAGGAAGCAAGCTGCAACAGTGTTTCCATAGTCAGGACTGCCTGCTTGAAAGAGTCAAAGTTTTCTCTGGCAGGACAGCCCAGAAAGCCGACATTTTAAAACAGCGCAGCTTTTTTCCTGCTATAGCTGAAAACTGAAATGCTTTACTTTAGTCTTTCCTAATCATTCTCAGGCTTTCTGTGGATGCAGTTATCCATGTGGACGCCATTATATAAGATCTTTTAAATTTTTTTTTGTTTTTTTTTTGGGTGGCAGGGTTTCTGTGTCGCTTTGGAGCCTATCCTGGAACTAGGTCTTGTACACCAGGCTGGCCTTGAACTCACAGAGATCTGCCTGCCTCTCCCTTCCTAGTGATGGGATTAAAGGCGTGAGTCACCACAGCCCAGTTATAATCTTTTTTTAAAAGAGAGACTTAGGTGACACAATGCTGCCTATTCTTGGCCTTCCAGCTCTGTGACCCTGCCTTACAGAACTGTGTGGCAGCTTTCTTATTGATTGCTATGCTCCTTCGAATGCCCAGTGAGCTGGGGGTTTTATCATTTCTTAGAAACGATACTTAAAACCAATACTTCCTAATTTTAGTCTACATGAACAAAATCAGTTTTAGAAATACATTTCCAAGATGCTCAGACTATTGGTTCAAGTTGGCCAATAGCATGAGCTCCCACCATCAGCAATAGCGTCACTTAGAGATTTGTTCTTGGGCCTCAGGAGGTTTCAACCTAGTCGCCTATTTTGCCAATTTCTCCCGGTGCTGTTAAGGCTAAAATTTAATAACCACTGCCCTAATAAAAGCTAGAGGAGTTGGAAATAAAATGTTCTTGGACTTTAAATTTAGCTCTGCATTACAGCCAACCATTCTTCCAGACGTCTGCAGCCTACATTTGTGAAGAAGACAGTCATATCAGAGAATTGTTGAATTCGCCAGTAGGACAGAGAACAGTGTTTTGTCTGACCCTAGACGCCTCTATGTTTAGCAGCTCCCCGGCCCCCAAATCCTCACTTAGTAGATTGGGGTAAGCCTAGTGCCACGGTCTGGGTCTGTGTACACCCTCTCATTTCATATGTTGAACTCCTGGTCTCCAAGGCCATCATGTTAGGATCTGGCCTTTGGGAATTAATGGAGAGTAGAGTCAACAAGATTGCATTGGTGCCTTATAACCCAGAGTCACGTCACTACTGAAGAGAAAGGAAGTCATCTTCTGGTCTAAAATGGGGCACACATGGGACAGTGACTCTAACTGTTCTCTTATCTTGAACTCCTCAGTTTTTAGAACTGTGAGAAATACATTTCTAATGTGTATACCCTGCCTAGGTTATGGCATTTTGTCTAATAATGAGAATACACAAATATCTGGTTTAACCAAACTGTTCAGAAGAGAAAGACAGATATCCAGAGAACAGAACACACACTGGGCCCATAATGTCTCCACTGTGTGTTAGAGAGAACTTGCAAGAATGCTCAGGAGAATACTGACAAGGATATAGATATATTTTCAAAATTTTCTCTCTCTCTTTCTCGCCCCTTTTCATACCCTCTCTCCCCTTTGCCGTTCTCCCTCCCTCCCTCCCTTAATTAGACAAGGTCTGACTATGTAAACTTGGCTGGCCTGGTACTCTCTACGTATTCCAGGCTGACCATGAACTCACAGGAATCCACCTGTCTCTACCTCACAGTGGTGGTATTATAAGGATGAGTCATGATTCAACTTATTCATATAATTTAGAGGCAAGGTTTCACTCTGGAGTCTAGGTTAGCTTGAAATTCACAGCCATTCTCCTGCTTCTGAGTGCCTGGATCTCAGGTGTGAGCCACAAGGCTCTGCAGAAAAAGGTCAGTTTAGGGTTTTGCTATGGAGTCAATGCAGGCTCTCTGTTTGGTGGCTGCTTTATCCCCCTGAGGTCTGAGCTCATTAGCCATCCCCGAGCACACAGTGTTTGCTCTAGGATTTATCATCGACAGCTATACAAATAGCTTTAGTTGCTCACTCCTTTTCTTCAAAGTACCCAGGAAATCTCATTAAGAGGGATTAACCCTGGATTCGGCTTGGTGTTCTTACTTTAATAAGCTTCAGGAAAACCAATAAAAACACACAGGTACAAAGAAGAACAAACACAAGAGAGGGGCTAAAACCCCAAGTCCCAGAGAAGTGAGGGATCACACTGTTGTGTAGTAACTCAGATTTACTGGGAGCTATGAGGTACCCCAGAGGATGCTGAGTACCGAAGGCCTGGTTTCTAGTGTCAACTCCACTATCGTGCCATAGGACTCTACAAAATTCTTTACTCTGAGTCTTACAGTTTCTTCATAAGTATAGTTAATGACATCTATTGCCAGAGCCACTGTATTAGGGGGACTGTGATAACAAATAGAAGACCACTTGGCAAAGCAAGAGCAATAATGAAACAGCCTTTGTCCTGTCCTGTCATCGAATTAGAATTAGCAAAACAGTTCTCGGTCTATTCTGGGTATCAACTGTCTGTACCTGGAGAAGTTGGAAATGTCTTGGTTTCAAGTTCCAGGTACATTTTTTAAACTGTATTTAAGAACCCATCTAGGTTTAGAATTGTATCAACTCGGAAGAATAATTTAGGTAGATATAAAAACTCTTGACGATAACTCTTCCATCAAATAACCTGCAAACTATCATGTCAATAACAATAGGAAGCCGTCAGTAGTGTGACAATAGTCTTGGCCCATTTGAAGGGAAGGCTAGTTGATTTCTTGAAGACAGGTAGAAGCAAAAGACTTTCTAGCAATTTCCACAGACGAACCATAAGCGCTGAAATGGATTATAAATAAGATAATTATGTAATTTGTTAGGTAATTCATGTCACCTTTAGGAGCAAGGAGGCACTATGAATAATTATGTAGGTAAATAGACATAAACCAAGACTGTCCTTGAAGAGCCAGGACATACGCTTCTTAGTGACGATTGCCTCCCACCCCAAGGTGAGTGATGTCAGAGTAAAATCATTCGCAATAGGATCTGGAAATTTAACCAGCTCCTCTGTGCTGTCCTCAATCCTTTTACTTTGTGACACTGAGCATACGTAAACTGTGGAAATTCCAGAAATCTAGTGTGTGGCGAGCTGAAGGGGGCCACAGCGGGTGGGAGGGGCGCAGGGACCGTCTCCAGATCTCTCTGAAGGGACGCATCAAACACCAGCTCGAGCTGAGCTGCCTTTTTGCTGAGAGGCGACAGAAGCAGACACACCAGTCTGGAATGTCAAGTGCGGAGATGAGCGGCCTGGGAAGAGAAGCTTCAGGCCAGTGTCGAGTCCGCCAAATGGAGTTGCAAACAGCTCCGAGTTCTGCGAGCAGAGGCTAGAGACATAAATCAAAGAGCGCTCTCCCAGTGCCGGCAGTGCGGGAACGACTGGCCGCTTGTCACGCTTCAGTGTCTTCAACCACAGCTCCACACGTGGAGAGTAATTACCGCTAGCCCTGTGGTCTGTGAGTGGTGGCGGCGAGGGGAGAATTTTCGCAGGCATTGCATGGGGAAGGCTGTCCACACCCCTGTCTAGAGACACGATGATGCCCTTCTCCCCACATATGTTCACTGTGAGGTGTTCCTTGGTATGATTTATGCTAAAGGCCTTGTTTCCAGTCTGTCCCTAGCACCTGGCCGTGCACAGCAGTTTTATAACCCCGACAGGGAAAGAAACCTAAAGATATTTTAGTAAGCAGCTTCCAGGAAAGATAAATCAACAGCCGTAATATCATATTTTTTAGGATGATCCTAAATTCTGAAGGAAAAAATAAAACGGTCAGTATTCCTCTGCAAGCCAGGGCAAGGGAGGGCTGCTGAGTGGAAAGGACTGAGGCAGGGTGCGCACAGCAGAGCTGGCCTCACTTTGGCAGCACCCCCTTTCTGAATCTCGAGGTGTCTGAAGGATTGAAGGAGCAATTTCCCGGTGGCAGGAGTCGCCCTCTGTGACTGAGGGACAGTTGGCTGTGGAGTCAGAGTGAATCAAAGTGCTACTGGCTTTTTTGATGGAGCTGCTGTCCTTACAGAGCTGATCTCTAAATAAAAGATTTCTTTTTGCTCTTTTCTTATAGATAGTTCTAGAAGGATGGAAAATGGGGCCGGGAATACAGTTCAAAGCACTTGCCTTGCATGCTCGAGGCCCAAGGTTCAATTTCAAATTCAAAGAAAGAAAATGGAAGTTTTCCATGTGAAGGTAAGAAACATACTTATAATTTGACAGCTACCTTCTTTTAAAACATATAATCGCCACCAAAAGAAATGGTGTCAGGTTGATATTGGTTTCATAGCTTTTAAGAAATGTAGAAGTAACGGGTCTAACACTTCCTTTTCATTGACTGTGAGTCCGTTTGCATTATGTATTATTTATTTATTGTATAAACTTCTATGTTATCAAGTCACAAAATAATCCTGGAACTTCCATTATTCACTGAGGCTTCTGATAGAATGACTACATTTAAAAACAGTCATGTGATCATATTCATATAAGTAAATAACAGTAGACATATAAGCCGGTACATTAGTATTGCCAAGGTACTCATCCAGCCTTGAAAAAGCATGAACCACACAGTTAATTCCCGATTGTTTGACAGCATAGCTTTTGTTTTTCCCCTGTAAATACATAAGGAGGGGGGGTTCAAAAAAAACTAATTATTTTCTTATTTCCCTCAGAACTACTCTTATGATGGAGAAACAGCTATTTTTGTTGACCACATCAACTTTATATCGACCCCCATCTTGATAAAAGAAGTGGTGGTGCGTACTCAACTATCGAGTTCCCAAAGAATTTTATTTCCAGAACAGTCGTCTTTCTGAGGACTGTTCAGGGCCTCCTGCTAGCTGAACGCGCAAGCATATGTTGTTTTATACCTTTCAGATTGTATTTCAAGCAAGTAGACTCCCAACCTTGAGGGGCACAGGAAGTGCCTTTCTCAATGTGCTTTTCTGGGCAGAGCTCTGCCCTTCTGCTCAGGGGCAGACTCCCTGAACTCCATTTGTATGCTCCCCGAGTGCACAGCATTAATGACGGTTCCATAGTTGGCAGCTGGATTGTATGTCCCAAGCTTCCCCTTTTTGTTTTTTGTTTTTTGAAAGAAAAAATAATTTCATTTTTAAAATAATCTTTTACTTAGAGAGTAAGATGTAAGTGATCTTGATGGATCACTGTGTATCCCATTAAAACGCTGCGATACTTAGGGTAGGCCCTGGCTAGCCAGTCATGACTCTAACGTCCTAAGAGATTGTTACAAAGCTGGGCTTTCCAGGCTGCGCAACCCAAGGTTGTCTCTTTGGTCCAGTTGTAAATAGCAGCCAACTGTTTAATGACATAATGTGAATTTTTATAGGCTCGTCTCATTCTCCAGTCAGATTGCTCTCTGAACATTTGCGATAAATCTTCCCCCACTCCTTAGAAGTGTTCAACACACAGGTTAAATTCTCACTATTGATTTTTCTCCGCTATGCATCTTGACTATTACAAGAGGACTTGACCCATACAAAGGATCTCAGTGACAGTCAGTTTAAAATTAAAAAAAGCTTTTTGAAAAGAATGCTTAAAAAAGAAGTTGGTAAAGACACCAGGGTAACCCCTCCCTGACCCTTAGCAGGGTAGTTTGACTGCATATTTTGATTTGGTTTATAGGGCAGAAAAAAAAAAACGTGCACGTTTTCAAGAAGAGGTATTGTGTATTAGGCTCGCGAATGGTTGGGCGTCTTGAATGAAGTAGAGGATTCTAACCCAGGCCAGGTTAAAAGCTCCAGCAGAAGATGGACTTCTCTGGATTTTTTGCTATTTATCTTAAAAAAACAAACAAAGAAACAAAACCAAAAATGTCAAGCAAAATAAAAATTGATAAACAACAGCAAAAAGGGATCGACTCTTCTGGATTCTCCTGTCCTGGGCTTCAGGGATCTATGCTCCAAATATATAGTTCGTCTTGACATATACAGTCTTATTAACAAGGAAACTGTATTAAAATAATAAAAACAAAGGTAAGAACACCCTGTACCCAAACATCTAGAGCACATTAATTTTGAACTTATTTCTTTTTTTTCCACACCCCTGAAATACTGCCCACTAGTAGAAAATAGAAAATTAATAGTAATTCCTTTTCTGGACTTTCAAATAAGACAACATCATTATTTTCAAGAATAGGGGAGATTAAAAACTAATACTTAAATAATACCACTTTTAAAATTGCCAGATTCAACAAAACTGAAGTGAATGAAGCCATTTCCACATCACTTGGAGTGAAGATTTATTTAAGACCAACTAAACAAGTTACATGGACCCCACTGCAATGCCTTCTTTAATCAAAGCTATAACTGGACAGACATCAGACTTTTTAAAATTTAAAAATAATAAAAAAGTAAAAATAGATTTCCTAGAGAAATTTCTTCCCTAACTTGTGTGTGTGTGTTTGTGTGTGTGTGTGTGTGTGTGTGTGTGTGTGTGTGTGTGCGTGCGCACGCGCGTGTTTTGCTGCTTCTGTGAATCTTTCTTTGGAGTAACTGGGTAGCAGAGTGGATTTTTTGCTGTTTGTTTTTGTCTTTAACTGGATTCATCCAAGGACGCTGAATTAGAACGTCTTCTGATTGGTGGAACATGGAGTCCTCTGAACCATGACAGAGAATAGAGGCCCTGAAAGGAGAATGGAAAGTGTGAATGACAACATGGGATGTGCGTCTCAGATGTCGTGTACCCTTGTGTGAGGAGAAGACAAAAGAAAAGAGAATGGTATGAGCACTCTAAAATCATCTGCAGCACTTTAGAGGGTTAAACCTGCTTAACCCATTCCTCGTCAGAGAATGGCACCAAAGAGCTCACCCCTCAAGCGTGGCTAGTTCTAGGCCTGTGGTAGCCTCAGGTTGCCAGAGCAGTCATGCGCTCTGTTTCCGCCCCCCTCCCACCCGATTAATAGGATCCATTCATAGCTACTCACTACTGCAGGATTTGACCTGAGAAATGCTAGGATCGATTAACTCAGCAGTCGTGGCGAACAGTCCCTAAATAATCTTAACCCTTGGCCAGCAAGGGAACTGCTAGTCTCCAGTTCTCAGCAGCAGCTGGCGGGGTTCTCAGCCAAGTTCTTCAGATGTAGGAACTCCTCCCGGACAGCCTACGTCGACATGGCGTCTACACATCTTTCGAGCAGGCTTCCTGGATCTAGGAAACGTTATTCCTGACTCCTGTGACCCAGGCGCCCGCGACAACACAGTTCCCAATCTGTAGGTAATCGCTCTTCTTTCCTTTCTAGGAGCTGGCAGGGTAGCTATTTTTTTCTAAAATAGTCATGTTGATATGTTCAAAAATCCATTGCTGAGTCTCCGAGAGAGGGTCACATCTGGCCATGAAAATCTTCTTCTCTGCAGGGTTGCAGTCCATGCAGCTGTTGCTTACAGGATGAAAGAGTGTCCTGTCCTAGAGGCATCAGAAAGAGAAGACTGATATAAAATGTGGTGAATGCTACAGCCCAAACGTTGTATATGTAAAATATGTGTTTGTATTTGAGTATACACCCAGGTCTAACTCAACCAGCTCTCGAGTCAAAGAATATGAGATTCCAAAGAATCTAGAACTTTCAACACAGCTTAGGCTGAGACAAAAATATCCATTAATTTGTTTTTGAAGCGAGCAATTCACTCATTTCTAGGTTTGGAGTGAGTGAGCATTGTGTTGCAAGCTTAGCTGCCTACAAGTATAAAATGCTTCTAGTCAGTTGGACAAAATATCACACACACACACACACACACACACACACACACACACACACACACACACGTGCTGAGTGCACAGTAAATAATAAACACACCCAACCAGAAGAGCGGAATTTTCCCGATCTCGCACTGGTTGTCTATTGAAAAAGACGGAAAGAAATCCATGTTGAAATTGCAATGCCAGGCGCGCAGCTGCCTGCCGCCTTTGGAAGATGAAGGGGTGAGGGACAAGTGACGCTTGGGCCATAGCCGAGAATGAAAAGTCAGCTTTGTTAGTGCTTAAGAGTCAGTGTCTTCCACCCCTGCAATCCAACATCTTGGATGTTGCAGGTGCTTAGATAGCATGGTTCGGGATGACTGTTTGTACACTGGAGGAGGTCGTTTGCTTACAAGCCAGCTATGATAAATACATTAAAGCACCTAAGTACTTGAGGTAGTTCACAGCCCAGGGAATAAAAGGCGCTCGCTTCCAGGGCACAAAGTCTAAGTCCTGAGCAATCTCATTGTCTGAGCATGCCCCTTTTGATTGTATTCCTGGGAAGAGAAAGTGAAGTGGAAAGGAAACAATCCTTCTTTGGTGTCAAACACTCACTCAACTGGCGCTTACGATTTTTCTTAAAAAGTATCAATAATTTGAGAAGAGGTCGCCAAATTAACACTTAAATTTTAGCATTGAGTAATGTTTTGTTGTTTAGCTGAGGAAGTGTTTTGGGGTGTTGGTTGTTCTTCTGGTTGGTTTTCTTCAAGGGGGAAACGGTAAATGTGCAGTGCTTTGAGGAGTTAAGAGTTTCTCAGCCACCCTTTGTAAACATTTATGGGTTCCTGGATTTTCAATCTCAATCAAACTAATATTTAATATCCTTGAAGGATCCGGATGTGTGCATGAAGGGGAAGGAGAAATAAGGAAGGAGAAAGGTAATGTGGGCAATTTGGTAGGCGTTTCTATTTTTAGTGCAAACAAAGGACTGTACCCAACACAAAGGTTCTTTTCACCTACTCTTTAAAGTCAAAGTTGGTTGTGGATTTCCTGAACTTGAGTTCAGAAGTCTCCTGAGGTCTCCTTACAGTCCTTTCCAACATCTTCACTAACTTCTCTGCAGTCTAACCCCAGGGGAAGGTTCCGAGAAATTCTCCTTGTCTGCGGGGGAGATGGTAGATGCCAGAAAGGAGGAGACTGTTCTCAGCTCCTCACCGCATTCTTTAAGGTTACCTGGGCTCCTGGCACACAGGTTCCTCCCGCATTGCACAACACCTTCTTTCCTTGTTCTGCCCCCTTCCCTCTGGCATTTCTCTTCACCCTTCACCCTCAATTTCCAGCTGCGTAGCTGCCTGAATCTAATCTATTTTATTAGGTTTGCAAACACCCTTTGCGGTTTCACTTTTTATATTGCTGGGAATCAAACCCATTCAAACTGTGGGTTTGCTAGGCAAGTGCTCTACCACAGAGTTATATTTCAAATCCCTTCAAATAGTATTCTTTACTGTTTTTACATTTATTTAGTGTGTAGTGTGTCTGTGTGTGCATGCCACATTGTATCCATGAAGACCAGCGGACAATGTGCAGGGTTCAGTTTTCTCTGTCTACCACGTGGGCTCCGGAGAGGAAACTCAGGTTGGCAGGTTTGGTGGCAAGCGCCCTTACTCATCAAGCCCTCTCTTGGCTCTCTCAAAGACCATTTTTAAATCATAACGTTCAAGAAAATTCTATGTGACCCACTAAATTTGAACATGCTCTGTTGCGTGTGCAGGCATTTCCTTCCAGTCTTTAATACCTGCATTTCTTCCTGCTTCCTTTACCGACAGCTCGGGGGGACCTCCAGACAATCCCAGATTCCCCTTAAAAACACGCATTTCCCTGAAACCTAAAATCAGTAAAGAAAACATGTATTCCTTGGTTTCTTCTCCTTATCAGTGCCCGTTTGCCAGCGTGGACACAAAAGCAAACCAGGTTTCCTAAAGCGCTCTATTTTTCTGCACATCCCTTCCTGAGCCAGCCATAAGGTATCACAGTTTCCAAACCCCTTGTGGAAACACATGTTCCGACAAATGCAGGTGTGCTCATAGGCGCAGCAAGGCAGGCTATGCGGATGTGGTGCAACTGGAACAATCCGGAATATGTTCTCCAGTGCATGTACTTTGGTGTCCTTAGAAGAGATGAAAACTGGGATTCTTTCTCTATCTACACCAGGGAAGCTGATGGGAAATGAGAGGGTGAAGTAGACCCATCCCCAAAGCCTTTCCTTGTCGTAGAATTGAATGAACACTTTGTTCCAAAGTCTGCCCGTGACAGAGACAGATGACAGGGTGCTAAGCTAGAAGCCCTCCCCGATACCCAGTAGGTCAACTGATTGATTTCTGGCTACAGACCGACCGATCTCTGTTCACCCTTGTCTTCGGAGTGCCCAACAAGGCCACAGAAATGAAGTTTCTGGGTACACTATCAGCCTTCAGCAGAGTGTACCTTTATCGCTTTGACCTTGGGGGCTGACATAATTGCTATCTATAGGCTTCTATTGGACCAGGCTTTTGGATCAGTAATGTCTTTATCGACGCCTCTGCTAGCTGATTTAGTCAGTGGAGTGAGTCTGAATATGTCTTTTCTTCCGTGACAGCCCTCCTCTCCCCTGTTCTTCATCCCATCGCTCATCGCTGTTAACAGGACAGCATCCCTGCCCCCAGTAGACTTGCGAGTACTTTGGGAAGTGTGATGTTCCGTAACAGCCTTCTGTACGTGATGATGGATGCTCTGTCTTTGCTTTGCTCTTGATCCAGTCCTGACAAAAGGCAAGGCCCTGCCTGCCAGTGTCACCTTTACTTCACCTTGCCTGAGAAGACCGAAATCACGGAGCAGGCGATGTCTAAGGATTGCTGAGCCGCCTTTCCTAATCCGTTCGTGGTGCCAGCCAATCAGTGCACGCAGATGAACATGGGTGGGACTTTTCGGGTGGTTCGCTGGAAGTCACGTGGGCTTAGAGCTGGCCACAAACTTGACTGGCATCTGTGTGGAACCTGGTGTGTTCCCACATCCATACTGTACTTTATCCGCTCCCGTATTCTCAGAGTCTTAGCTTTAGGAGCATGAGAGAGGGGTACCACACATTCCAGCCTGTGCGTGGGGTCATGAAAGAACCGAACAGAAAAGACACAAAGGCAGTCAAATAGACAGGAGAGCGCATGGCTCACAGCTGGAGGGGCAGCACAGTCCTGAGAAGAGGCCTGAGGTTTGTGGCTGGACAGGGAGCCGGATGAATTCTAGCCATCCACCTGCTAACTGTCTGCCATGGGAGCAGGCACTCAATTCTGCGACCCTTAGCTCACAAACTTGTAAATACGGCTAACGTACCCAAGTTTGCTATGGGAGGATAAAATGTAGAGCGGCTGGCTCCACGTTTCCCATAGAAGCAACGATGTAATAGCTTCCTCTTCCTCTAATTTATTTTTAGTCAGAAAGCATCCCCAGTTCTAAAAATCAGAATATACTAACCATCTGGTCTGAGACCAGCTGGCTATTCAAACCCAAATTATATTTTCTGAAATCCTGGCAAAACAGAGCTTGAAAAAAATTACCCTCTGACCCAATCTGTTGTCCACATTGTACAACAGTGCCTCCCTCTTTAATCCAAAGGATTAGGAAACCAAGGTAATCTAGGGCTAGCAAGGCAGCTTTGCTAGGTAATCGCAGAGTTTTGGCTGATCTCTAGCATGAGCTATGACTATCTTTTCAAGTCCTGAGCTTTCTAGAAGACAAGACAGTAAGATAGGTGGGCCTTTTGAATACATTATTTAGACAGGCTAATTGAGTTCAACAGATATTTATAAAGTGCCCTTTATATTGTGGTTAGTGTCGAGAAAAGGTGTTGCGGAAGATAACTTAAGCCATATCCTCTAACCCAACAAATAGAGCAGATCAAAAGGTATCTAATAAGTGTCTGAAGTAGAAAAAATATCAGTGAAATGTAGTGTAATAAACGTGAATAGGAAATAACACATTTATGCATTTGAGTTAAAAAAATTAATGGGGAGATCCTGTTAGACAGGGACTCACATATTCACAGTTTCTTTCCATCTTTTGATGGGTACCTAGGTTGGATTCTATCTCTTGGCTGTTGTGACCAGGGCATATGATGACTTAATATCCATTGGGTATATAATCAGAACAACACAGCTAAATAATGTAGCAGTTCTATTTTTGGTTTTATGAGGAACCTCCGTACATATTTCCACAGTAGATGCACTAATTTGCATTCCTGGCAAGAGCATCCCATTGCTACCCTTGTCCTCACCAACACTTGTTTTCCTGACGAGAGCCATGTCAACTGGGAGAAGAGAGAATCTCAATGTGGTTCTTATTTGCATTTCTCTGGTGGCTAAAGATCATCATTTATGAAAATTATTTCATAAATTTGTTGCGATTTGTACTTTGTGAAGAATCTGTTCGACTAATTTGCCTGCTTATTGATTTGATTATTATTTTCTTTTTGGTGGTTTACTTTTTAAATCTTTTCTATTTTCTAGATATGAATCTTTTATGCACGAATAACTAGCAGATTCTCTCTCATTCTGAAGAATGTGTCTTCACTCTGACAATCGTTTCCTTGCCGGTGTCGCAGCTCTCAAATCTGACACCATCCACCTCTCAGTTCTTGCTATGATGTCCTGAGGACATAGGGGTCCTCGTCAGAAAGCCACTGCCTAAGTCTAATT